GCAAATGCAGATGAATTCAGTGGAAGGACATGACCAGCAAGAAGAGGGAGTCACAGGAACTATCTCAGAGTGCAGACCAACAGAGGTTCAGCATGAACTTCCAAGGTAGCACATGGACTGCCAGAATTCAGGGGGTTTTAAGGGCAATTTCTGCCCCCTAGCTATGAGTCTAACAACGGAGGACAAAGGCTTTGACGAGCTTATCTTTGTGTATCTAAGGATGAGCATAGCCTAAACAATGCATTTGGAATCAAAACTATCAAGGAAGGGAAGCTAGTGAAAAGGGTGCAGTCAAGTCTGATCACCATTGTGTATCTTTTCCAGTATAATGGGATATTCCCTTGGGCAAGTCCCAAACCTGCCTGTCCAGGAAATCTCTAGTGGTCTTGAGCAACTTCAGCAGTGCCTACATGACCTTACATTTAGGGGATTATGGCTGCCATCTCCCAAGGGTCAGGCTGGGGTCATAGAGAACTCCACATGCTTCTAAAATGCCAGGAAATGCCAGGAAAAATGGAGCACATCTGCTAACATATGAAATGCTTTTTTCATGAGCAGAGGATGCTGTTTTCTATGCAGAACAACTGCATGAGACATTTTTGCAAATAAGTCCTGAACTGCAAAGATTCTCATCAGTCCAACATTTTTCTTGTCAAGGTTTCTTGAAACTTGAAAAACACAGGGTTTTAAAAAATATTTTTTTCAATTTTTAAAAAAGTATTCTGTCCATTTCTATTCCTATTATGCAAAAAACTATATGTACCGAGACTACAGACTGGACATGAGACTATCTCATGCAAAGCATGTCTTACTTAGAGAACTAGACTCTGTTCTTTTAATACTTTATAGTCCTGTATTTTGAAGAGTATTTATGACTCCAGTGATTTTTGCTGAAAATTATGTTTCTGGTATGGAAAATATTGTATTCAGTTATGGTTTTATGGGATATAATTAATTTGGTGTTGTCTTCTTGTTTTTTTTTTTTTAATACTTATAATATACAATTGACCCTTTGTATCCATGGGAATTCCATTCCAGACACACACACCCAGTAGATGACAAATTCTACAGAACCTCAAGTCCTGTTGCCCTCAATGGTGATGCAATGTGTGTATGACTGTGTTAGCATGGCCATGTGCACATGCCGCCATTGAGGAGAATAGGTCAGGGTCAGTTTTGGAGCATTTGCAGATGGTGAGCCTGCAGATAGGAAACACCCACTGTATTTTATTTGTTTTTGGTTTTAGCTTCTGAAAAAGACCTTCCCTTATTCAGGCTGAAATGTATTAGGCTATTTGAAAAGGAATAAACAATTGACCATCTTGGAACATGTGGAACTTGTCTCCTTACCATTTTCTATGCAATGAAGCTGGACATTCCAGTATATCCTTGCTGCAGTAATCATATAACATAGTAAGTCTCTGTTTTCTCTTTCCATTTCTTCCCCTCTAAATCCAACATATTTAAGAGAAATAAATCCAATCTAAATGTTATTTCTACTCTCAAAATCTTTTGTATCACCCTACAAATTTTTAACCAATACATTTTTGCTTTCTGACATGCCCACCAGTGATGAGAGAATGATCCCACATGTTTATTGCACTTCCAACATTTACTGTTTACTTTTTTTCATAAATTTTTACCAATTTAACAAGGGTCAAGTACTACCTGTAAATCATTTTGAATTTTTCTCCCTTCAACTCATAACAGTAAGTAAACTTTAATCCTTTAACCTATACTTTCTCCTATTGCTCAAAATGTATCATTTGACCTGTATTTCTTGTCCACTTCACCATACACTCCTTTACTTGCTCATCTTGTTTTTAATTTTTGTAATCATTTATATATTTTAGCCATCAAATATCCCTCTTCTTCATAGGATCTATAGGGAAGGTTGTGATAGGTTGTGAAACAGAAAGGAGGTTCAAAGCTGAAAGAGGTTATTAAATAGACCAAGTTAGGGCCTTTGCAGATTGCCAGAAATAGTGCACATTAAATTGAGGCACTGCCCTGGCTCAGTGCTAGAGAATCATGGGAACTAATTTATTGTGGCACCAGAGCTCTCTGACAGAGAAGGCTCAATGTCCCAGAAAAAAATACAATTCCCATGACTCCCTAGCACTGAGCCATGGCAGTGCCTCAATTTAATGTGCACTATTTCTGGCAGTTTGCAAAGGCCCTTAAGGAATGGGAAAATATAGTAAGATAGGAAAAATAGCAGAAAAAAATTGATACGCTGGGGACAGAAGGGGGCAATAGTGTCAAAGTACTGCTTGATTACTATAGGACTAACCCACAACCTATTAGAATCTGGTAAAAGTAGAACAAACAATCACTTACTGATTTGATGAGTAGAAATTAGATGAAATAATTGATTTATTATACCTTACTATTTCTTCTGTGGGGTTTTGTTGGCTGTATAAACTGCATAAGATATTTATAGGATAAAAAGTCCCATTTGTATTATTTAAAACAAGAAGAAAAAGGGGAAAAAGGAGTAGAGACCACAGGGGATAAGAGTATAAAAAATTCTAATACTTCAAATAATATTTGTAAAGAGGTCATTGGAGAGACTTTATAAAAATCCCGGGGGAAAGGCCACATTTATATTTCTAGATGCTGAAAAAGCATTTGACGCAGTGAATTGGGATTTCATGACATACACATTGAAATCAATAGAATTTGGTGACACTTTCTAAGATGGATTCAAGCAATATATAAAACTCAACAGGCACAAGTGATAGTGAATAGAGAAAGAAAGATCCAAGTATTGTCAAATCACAAAAGGAACAAGACAGGAATGCCCATTATCGCCCTTGTTATTTATCCTGGTTTTGGAAATTTTAATTAACCAGATAAGGAAGGATGAACAAATCAAAGGAACCCAAATCAAAGGCTAAAATATAAAGTAAGGGCTGATGCTGATGACATGGTAGTTATCTTAGAAGAACCAAATGAAAAGATTAATTAATTCAGGAATTCAGCGGATTTGCAGGCTTCAAAATCAACAATACAAAATTCAACATTTTAACTTTGAATGTGTCAAAAAGGGAAGATATTGAATTACAGGAGAAATCAGGCTTCCAAATTTGCAAAATAGTTAAATATTTGTGTATCACACCTTCTAAGAAAAGTTACAGTTTATATGATAATAACTATGCACCTTTATGGAAGGAGATTAAAAGTGACTTGATAAAATGGAAAATCTTAACCTATCACTTATGGGAAGAATTTCAGTGATTAAAATGACTATCGTATCTAAAATAATATTTTAATTCAAAATTTTCCAATTTTGATGAATGACAAACACTTCAAAAAATGGGAGGAAGAGATCTTGAGATTCATATGCGCAAGGAGAAAGCCACGAATAAAATGGAAAATTCTAAAAGATGCAAAAGAAAGAGGACTGGGAACACCAGATCTTCAATTATAATACTATTTATGTGCCCTTGAGTAGATTCATAATTGGATAAATTTCGGAGATGATAAGATGTTAAATCTAGAAGGATTTAACAAAACATACAGATGGCATGGCTACTTATGGTACAAGAGAGCGGAGGTTAATAAAGAATTCAATGACCACTCAATCAGAAGAGTCTATTAAGAGTATGGACAAAAGTTAAGAATATCATATATAGGGAGTTCCCCATCTGGTTGTCACTGCAAGAGGCTTGGATGATAGCATACAAGACACAACTAAAGGATTGCTTAAAATATCAAGAAATATTACAATGGGAAGGTAGTGTACTGAGACTGAAATCAAACGATGAAATAAAAGAAATAAGGATTGACTGCCACTGGTTTACATACCACCAATTGATTGAGAGATTTAAAATGGACTTTAAATTGAGGTTTTTAAGAGAAACAGAAATAAATTAGATGAGATACTACTAGAAGAATCAAAAGGCACTATAGCAAAGCTATATAAGCTGCTGTTAAAAACAGAATCAAAAACAGAAGTAGTGAAAGTGTGCATGATAAAAAGGTCACAAAATTTTGGATTTCAGGTGCAATTAAATAAATGGGAAAGAGCTTGGGGGCAAGATTTAAAATATACACTATGCATGGACCTAAAAGAAAAATTCTATAAAATGCTCCACAGGTGCTATCTCACACCTAATAAGATGGTCAAAATCTGAGGCCATAAGATGGCAATTCTTGGAAATGTGAGAAGAATGAAAGATCTCTATATCATTTATGGTGAACATGCCCAATGGTAGCGAAATACTGGAAAGAAATTAATAAAATCTTACAAACTGTAATACAAATACCCATTAGGTTGGCCCAGAATATTTCTTATTGAATATAATAGATGGAGAAAATGATAGGAAATACCTGAACTTAATTCTTTAATTAGTTACAGCAACTAGAATAACATTTGCATAGAAATGGAAAGAAAAAGATATTCCAGTGACAGATGACTGGTTAATGAAATGTGTAGAAATGATGAAGTTAGATCAATTGATGATGCTTATGAACAATACATGTAAAACAGGATGGGAAAAAGATTGGGAATGATTGGTCCAATATTGTAAGGAGAGATGGTCCAAAGATACTGTAAATTAGAAGGCCTAAGCAGAGGAAGTCTTAGATCTATGCTAATAACATTATATTGTAATAGATATTGCAATAGGTGTTCACTGGGGATTTGTAGATATTTGCAAATAGTTATTGGGTATGAATTGAAGAGGGGAGTATGGCACTCATCCTTATCAGAAACAAAATATCAAAGTCAAAAAATGTATTGTAAATACATAAATGTCAAGAGAAGGAAGAATATGTCAATCGACATGCTTGAATTTTATTCAAGAGTTTAAGAAAGGAGGGAAG